AAATTTTATGGGTTTTGCCTATAAAAACTAACTTCCCCAAGAAAGAGGAACTCTTCTCTGCCTCACTTGAGATGGCTTGAGTTGAGTTCCCTGTCATGACTTGTAACAGATAAACCTTGCTTTTGCATTCTGGTATGCTCGTCCTTGGTGGTCTCTCTGGGGGTTACGATCTGGGCACAACAAACACATGAAGGGTGCACCTCAAACGCTCGCAGAGCATGAATGCAGTCCTAGGTTCCATCCCAGCACTCCTGTAGAATATTGTTTTAAGATGTGTTACATTTGTCTATGCTGTGGAACATTTGTTTAATGATGCAAAGATGTGTTGCATTCTTTTATGTTGCATTTTGTTTTTATCTCTGTGAAGCTGTGTTACTTTGCCTGCCTAAAACACCTGATTGGTCTAATAAAGAGCTGAATGGCCAATAGCAAGGCAGGAGAAAAGGTAGGCAGGGCTGGCAGGCAGAGAGAATAAATAGGAGGAGAAATCTGGGGAGAGAGGAAGAAGGAGCAAGAAAAGAAGGGGCCAGCCAGCCATCCACACAGCCAGACATGAAATAAGAAGTAAATACACAGAGAAATAGAGAAAGGTAAAAGTCCAGAGGCAAAAGGTAGATGGGATAATTTAAGTTAAGAAAAGTTTGGCTAGCAAAGCTAAGGCCAGGCATTCATAAGAAAGAATAAGACTCCGTGTGTGCATTTATTTGGGAGCTGGGTGGCAGGCCCCCCAAAAGAGTCAAAAGAGTAAAGAATAAATAAAACAGCCAGTTACACAGCACCACATAACCTCGGCGTGGTGCACACTTGTAATCCCAGAACTCATGAGGTAAGGCAGGAAGATCAGAAGTTCAAGCTCACTTTCAGCTACATAGTGGGAGGCCAGCCCAGGCTGCATGAGACCCTCACAAAAACTAAAAGCAAACAAACAAACAAAACCCAAGTAGCAAGACAAGGGGACAACAAAGGACCTGCAGTAAACGAAAAAGGCAGGTAAGGGGGAGAGGGAGGAGGAAGGGAACCATCTGAGAGAGGGAAGAAAGGAAAGGGTGAGGAAGTGGAAAGATGGGCATTAATGAGAAAGCCCAGCAGCAGGAGAGCATACAGAGTGCTGGCCGGGCAGGGGAGCAAACACAACCTCACACCACAGGCCTCACAGGCAAAACTGCTCCATCATCACGTCGAATGGCATCAAGTTAGAACAAACGAGAAGCAAAGTTTACAAGGTTTACAATCGTTTACTCCACCCACTACCCAGCAGCCCTCATTCCTTTTAGGAAATTCAACTAAATTCAGCAAACTAATGCAACAATTAAAATCTATAAAGTAAAGATGCACTTCAGTAGAATTCTATATTAAATAAACCAGAGACCATCCCCTCCACCCACCCATCACAGACACAGCGTAGAATTAGAGACAAAAATGTTCTCACCCTGTTCGCATGAAGCATGTCGATCCCGAAGTGTGCTAAGTGTTTGGCCAAATGAGGATCCAAAACAGGTCCCTCTTCTTGAAAAGAATAAACATCTGGAGGGTGAAGAGAAAACACCACTAAGGTCTGTACATGACATCCAGGCACACTAAGCCTACAGCGGGGCAGGGTGTACCAAAGAGTAGACCATAAAAAATAGATGTAATAAATACACATATTTTCTAAACACACATCAATTCTCTAGAAAGTCTCAAAGACTTAAGGAAAAATGGGTTTTCTAAAGCAAAGTGGGGGAAAACAGCTGAAGGTAAGAAAACTTAAAATGAGATGAATATGAAGACCTAACCATTGGGCTTTATAACCAATACCCATGAGGGCCTAATTCTAAGGCTGGGAAGCAGAGCGAAAAGGGGTGGGGAGAGAGACAGCCATCTGCCAGGGCAGAAGACCCTTGGAGTAGACAGGGGATATCCAGGCCCTGAGGCGCAGCCGGATGGTGAGATGTGGTCAGACAGGCTCCTGTCTCTACCCTTTGGCCCATTTGCCCTTCTCTCTTGCCGCAGTGTCTATGGGTCACAGAGCTAGTGAGAGATGGAAGTGGGAATGCAGACCCATGCAGCTTCCCAAGACTGCCACTCACCCACATCAGAACTGAGGAGGCAGGCATGCTCACCCTGGGACTCACACCAGAACTGAGGTTGGCAACATGATCAACCCATCATCCATAACACTATTAAAAAGGTAGGGATGAGCTCCCAGACTGAAGAGATATGCTCACTCTGAGGTCCACACTGAACCTAGGGAAATGGACACATGATTACCCTAGAGGCCCCACACCTGTACTGAGGAGGCCAGTGACTGAGGATGTCTCAAATGTTATTCCCCCTGTGGCACCCTGGTGCTCGAGGGCAGTGTCTGGCCTCGGGATATTAATATCCCACAGGATAACATGTTTTGGGTAAAGCCCCATCAGATGCACAGACCGTGGACCAGGAGTCGGGGCTCCTTGGAAATGTTCCACCCCAGACTTACCCAAGCAGACTCTCCATTACCAACAAGACCCCAGAGACACAAAGTTTCAGAAGCATTGTAGGACCCTATCTGTCCTGAGAGAGTAATGCAAGGAGGGAGAAGAATGCACATTTCCTGTGTCTCATGGAGAGTCTAGTAAAGGCTACCTGATTCCCTCACATCTCACATGTGGCCCAGAACCCTAGTGCCTCACTCCTGTCCCATCATCTCCTTCCTTCTACCTCAGCATATTCAAGGTATCTCAGGCTATGGATGGTGAGGTGCCATCCAGGCACATTCTAGGAATGGAGACCCCAAACCACAGTCTCTTTTCTTCTAAATTTGGAAAATAAAATGCTTTAAGAAAAATAGATACGAGGTTGGAGAGATCGCTCAGAGGTTAGGAATGCTGGCTGCTCTTTCCTGAGGTCCTGAGTTCAATTCCCAGCAACCACATGGTGGCTCACAACCATCTGTGATGAGATCTGGTGCCCTCTTCTAGGGTGCAGGCAGAATACTGTATACATAATAAATAAACAAATCTTTTTCTAAAAGAAAGAAAAATAGATACAAAGACATCATCCTTTAGAACAGTCTCTTCAGGGCTGCCTAAGCAGTTTTCTACTCTTTGGGACACTGGAAGATTGACAGAGGGATACTATGCAGATGCTATGATGCTAGGATGATCCTCCGACCTACTGTGGCAAAGGGAGTTGGCCTTCCTATCACAAACAGATTGGCTGTTGTAAAGATTTCTCCCTGCACTTTGTATTGTGTGTAGCAGCCTTCACTGATGTCTGCTTAACTATAATTCAAGTATTCTTGAGAGCAAAAGGAAAAGATGAAATCCCCAATTCAATTCAGGCAGTTTCGAGAGAGTAGTGGTCTCTGGATCCTAAGGCGTGAAGGAGCCTGCCTCTGTGTGAAAGGTAAGATTCACAACAGGAAAAGACTTTTTCACAAAGACAGAAGTAGAGGAAGAGTGCCGAAAACGCACAAAGGAAGTGAAAAGATTCTGGAAAAGAGTAGAAACAACAAGTTTCCAAAAGGTTTAAATTTAAATACATACACACACACACACACACACACACACACACACACACACACACTAACATTTTTAATCAATGAGTGAGAAGAAATAGAAAAGATCAAATGCTTGTCAGAATGTGAAAAATGACCATCCTACAGCACTGCTATTCTACTCTCTTCAACCGGTGAGACTTTGAAAGCTTAAGTCACAGCTCTATTAGAAAATAATGAAGGCTGGGCAGTGGTGACACACGCCTTCAATCCCAGCACTCAGGAGGCAGAGCCAGGTGGAGCTCTGTGAGTTCAAGGCCAACCTGGGCTACAGAGTGAGATCCAGGAAAGGTGCAAAGCTACACAGAGAAACCCTGTCTCGAAAAGCCAAAAAAAAAAAAAAAAAAAAAAAAGGAGAGAGAAAAGAAAAATAATGAAACTGCTAGGATCACCTCACTCCCACCCTACCCCCACCCCCTACTATCTACATAGTATCCCTCAGCGACAATGCCCCGGGATCCTGAAGCAAGTGAAAACCACACTGCCTCTGGCGGTTCTTAACCTACTAGGTTTTCTCACATTAAGACAACACCATTTCCTACCTCAGGCGGCTAAATGTCCAAAGATACCATGTGATTTCATCAAATATGATAGTCATTTCTTACGCCAATAGCAAAAACAATTTAGGGAGTTCAATACCAGAAACTGAACATGAACTTGATCCTCCTGTGGCAATGATGAAGATCTGTACAAGTGACACAGGATGTCTTCAGAGGTGAGCGCTGCTGCCTTCTGTGTTTTCACTGGAAAATTCACGCTATCTCCCAGTTCAGCTTAGCAAAACTGTCGTGGAACTATCAAGAACTATCCTAGCATGTAAGTATTGCTGGGAAGTCAGGATGCTTCCACACTCCCTGCCATGGCATAAAACCTGACTCAGAAACGGCAGTGCTGAAGCCCAGGGAGAGGCTTCTGGGTAGAACAGACAGTGCTCAGTATGAGCTGATTGGTGACTCTCCGGGTTCCAGTTCAAGGATAAGATAAGCCAAAGAGCCAGAGGTTTCAATCCACACAAAAGATAAAGAGAAAGTTGGCGTAGTCATGCCCCATGCACGGGAGAAGCAGGTTACAGGTTGAAAGGACAGTGAAGGAGCAGGCTGGCAGCAGAAATGGACATGGCACTGAGGTGTGAAAAAGAAAAGGATCTGTGAGAAATAACCAAAACAGTAACCGTGTGTCACCTGAACAGAAAGATTTATTTTACCTTTTTCTATTTTCTCACATTGATTGTAGTATTCTAACTGAAAAATATACACATGGCCTGGCGGTGTCTCTCACTTGCTAGCATTCTCGCCTAGCGAGAAAAAGCTTTAGGTGTGTTCCTCAGCACTGCATAAACCAGGCCTAGTGCCACATACCTACAATCACAGCACTTGGGAGGAAGCGGCAGAAAAGGACCTCAGGAGTTCAAGGTCATCCTTAGCTACATAGGAAGTTCAAGGCCAGCTCGGGTTACATGAGACTCTTTTGTTTTGTTTTGTTTTTAACTTTGTAAGTAATTCCCACAACTAAAACAATTATCTTACATAATACGTTCTGAGGATTCATAGACCTCTAGACAAACTTGTTCAGCCACATTGATTAACCCATTCATTACAGTCAACAAACACAACTGAACACAAAATACACACAGATAGGAAGGTACAACGTTGGGTAAAAAAAGCAGGGTCCCTGCTCTCATGAATGTAAAGTCTAATATCCCAAAACAGTCTTGGAAGTCATGCTGGACTGTGGTGAAGGACCACAGACACCATCTTAGAGAAGGCTCATTTGTGTGGTCCACGCTCTTAACCTCAAGGAAGCTCTCATACTCAGGAAGGAACCAGGTAGTCCCACTGCTGGGCTCCCAACTTAGAGACCCTGTCGGACACCATGGGAACAAAAGGCCGAGGAGGAAATGCAGGCTGGTCCACAGAGGCACACCCCTCATCAAGAGCTACCTGTGTCCCACAGAAAAGAGAAATGAGAGGCTGTGCCAGCAATTCCACTAGAAAACTAAACACAAAATGGATGTACTGACGACGTATGGCCATCCCCAGGGCAGGCAAAACCCGCACTGAAGTCAGGAAAGGAGGCCTGCTGAGACTAAGCCGTCAATCGTACAAATGAGGAGCATCTTTCCTCTATTCGTTCACTGCACAAATCCTTACAGTGACTACTATGCAGACGGCAGCACTAGAGGACAACAGAGATGCTGTCCAGGCCCCACTGTCCCCGGTTACCCCCACTAACCTAACTGCCACAGGGCCCTGTAACAGCTCCTCTGGGAAGCAGCACAAGGTGCGTACAGCACACCAGAAGAGGACAGGCCAGGTTAAAGCTAATATGAAGTCATCAAAGCCTGGATTCCGACCCTGTAGGCTGTGAGAGACAGAAGGGAGCTTATGTCCAGGTCAAGGATGTAAAGAGCCAAAGAAGGAAGGCCCAGGTGTGGAGCCATGCAGCTGTCACAGCCAGTGAGATGAACCAGTCTGCAGCTGCCTTGGGCATCTGGACTGTCTGTGTGCAGTCATCCTGGCACAGAAGTACCTTCCCAGGTAAACAAGCCGCTTCCACAACGGGATTAATACAACCCTCTCCTACCTCCAGCTCATCTTACTCCCTTCCTGACAAGAACCCTCCTGGCTTGGCCAGAGGGCGTCTCCTCCCACACAGGGGAGCTTGGTTTGTTTGTGTGGTGATTTGGTTCTTGTTTTGTTTGTGCTGTACCCATGGGGACCCGGAGTGGAACTGGATACGGGGTCCATTTGTATGAAACGTGCCATCATTTTGGCCTAGCCTGGTGGGTCAGGGCTTCTTGGGAAAACAAAACCCTAAGCAGAGGCCTTATGAATGAAGAGGGTCTCGCTGAGCAGGTACAATGTCACTGGGAAAGGAACCAGGGTGGACAGACCAGGATACCACTGGATACTTGAATACACAACCTTAGATTCCATGTCCACCTAGCAATCTTCTAAATATAATTCAGCTCCCACAGGGAAAGAATGTACTGGTTGAGTTGACATAAACAGCCCACAGATTTGCAGTAGTGGTTCTCATTATGACCTAAAAAAAAACAAATGTCCTGACTTTGAGACTGTCTTTTTCACAGATTAGCCTGAGGGACCTACTGAGTGGAGAAAACCATTCCTTAGTCACCCTGTCCCTCAGCAAAATTATCTGCCCCAGAGTGTAACCCAAATCCCACACAGCAGGCACTGTGTCTTCCATGCTTCAACATCCTAAAGACTCTATAGTGAACCCTTAAAGAAACCTTGATTGTTAGGAATTTATTTGGCTTGTAAAGAAGTAGAAAGTTGAAGCTAACCATCTATTTTAAAAGATATAAGGGGAAGCCACCTATTAAAAAGATGCAAGGGAACAAGCATTGATTGCTGCAACCCACAACTAACAGGAAATAAGAGACTGAACAAAGACTTTAGGAAAACCAACACCACACAGCAGGGGTGGTCAGCCTTCCTAAAGCTGTGACCCAAACCAACACCACACAGCAGTGATTCTCAGCCTTCCTAAAGCTGTGGCCCAAACCAACACAGGAGTTCTCAGCCTTCCTAAAGCTATGGCCCTTCAATACAGTTCTTCATGTGGTGGTGACTCCCAGCCATAAAATTATTCCGTTGCTACTTCATAACTGTAATTTTGCTACTGTTATGAATCATAATGTAAATATCTGTGTTTCTGATGGTCTTAGGGGACCCTGTGAAAGGGCTATTCAATCCCCCGAGGGGGTCTTGGCTTACAAGATGAGAGCCACTGACATACAACAAACACAAGAAATCAAAGGCTGATCCTTTTCCTAAAGTATGAATTCAGAAAGTCTCATGTGGGGCACACAAGAGGCTTGCTGCACTCCCCCCCAGAGTGTTGGACTCTACATGAAGGACTTAAGACTATGTATTCAAATGACCTTGGCTGCCCTGTAAGACCAACCCTCAAAGTTCTCCAGTACTCCACCTTTACAACAGATATGACAGATAATAATAGAAAGAATCCATAAAACCTAATATATATAGATATACATATACATATACTGATAAGAAAAGACCCTAAGATGCTACCTGTGGCAGCCTATATCTATTGTGGTTTTATTGTGCTCCCCAATATATTATGTATCCTAATAAACTTATCTGGGGTCAGAGAACAGAACAGCCACTAGATAGACAAAGGAGTCAGAAAATGGTGGCACTCACATCTTTAATCATAGCATTCTGGAGGCAGAGATCCATTGGGATCTCTGTGAGTTCAAAGCCACACTGGAAACAGCCAGGCATGATGACACACACCTTTAATCCCAGGAAGTGATGGCAGGAAGCAAAAAGGTATATAAGGCATGAAGACCAGGAACTAGAGCCTGCTTAAGCTTAAGGCTTCTGAGCAGCAGTTCAGCTGAGATCCATTCGAATAAGGTCACAGAGGCTTCCAGTCTGAGGAAACACGATCAGCTGAGGAATTGGTGAGGTGAGG